AGCTTATTCCATGTTGCTAGTGGGAACGACATGGAATAAGGTCATGATTCGCATCTATAGTGGGAACAACGCATTGGCCTCAATTGAATTGGTAACCCGGTGTCAATACGATTCACAAATTGGATTAAATGTAAGTGGGAATGACCCCAAAGAGTGGTCTCCTGATATAGAATTCTGCAAAAATTTGTGTAAATCGGAATAGGAAAAAGAAATTTAGAAAATATACATTAGATCTGAAACAGTTGTCTTATTTGCTAATGTATTAGAATCTGAGAGAAAATTTGAAATAACTTTTGTGTAATCAGAAGTGATAAGAATAGGTTAAACAAGAGTCACGAAATCTGAGGAACAAGGGAAGTGTAAATAAAAATATTTAACAAAATGTAAAAGTGAAATTATGTATCTTATGAGGAAATTTGTGGATTTTGAATAAGTAAATATATTTTATAGTTATGGGAAGTTCATGGCCTCTTTGTTTATGTTTGTTTCTACTACCACAAACCCTTAACTACTGGCATTCTGATGTTTTCAATAAAATTAAACAGTACACATTTTATTTTTCATAACAAGTTGGTTTTAAAATGTATCTAAAGCAGTAACTGGCTGAGGAGAGGGCTTCAAATCATAACTTACATCACTGCATTAACTCACCTTGTGCACCTTCTAGAACATCTCTGGGCACTGGAAGTACAAGAATGCATTACTCATAATGTATCTCTGAAATAGAAACAATCACATCAAAATATGCATACATCTATTACAGAACTATGGACATCACCTTTCTGAATCAGTTTTGTTTTTTCTTCAGTATAGCTGCAAGATGAATCCAACCAGAGTCTGTTATGAGACACACACACACACACACACACACACACACACACAAAATCAATGTGTACATTCTGCGCACTATTGGTTCTGCAATACTTCCCCCATGTCTCACTATCATCTATGCATAGCTGTGCAGCCAAATCCTAGTAATAATGTTTATTTCTAACGACCACAACACCAAATATACATCTACGAACATAATGTTTTCAGGGAGGCTCTGAAAGGCCCCTGGCTGTCTATTCCAGTTTTTCAGACTTTGTTTACAGTTTATTCACTAATTGCCAACTTCCTAGTCAGCTTCTCTTTCAGTGCTATTTTTTTTAACTGTGCCATTTTCCACAGAAGAATGGTACTGGGATGCGGGAAAATGACTGCAATCTTGAAGGAGCCTCTGGTATGCCCTCTCCTGAAAAGGACCTCCCTGGATGCAGATGTATGTGAGAACTATTGCCCCATCACTAATATCCCCTTGAGCATGTGGTAGCTGGGGAACTTCAGATGTTCTTGGAGAAAACAGATTATTTGGACCCATTTCAGTCTGGTTTCAGAACAGGGTGTGGCAATGAAATTGCCTTCATTGCTCTGACTGACAATGCACTCCAGAGGAAAGACAGGAGGAGTGGTATCCTCTTGATATTCCTGAATGTGTCAGTAACTTTTGATACTATTGATCATGGTATCTTACTGGATCAGTTCCACTAGATAGAAGTGTTGGAGTATTGGCATCAATGCTTGTTCTGTAGATGTTTCAATGCTTGTTCTGTCTATGTTTCTTTCCTTGAGAAGGGGTTCTACACAGGAACACTGTCTATCACAATGCTAACTTGGTCAGTGGGTCTGTGAAAAGAACACTTCCCATACCCCTCCTATGCCTGGGGGTCAATAAAGCTTTATGATCCTTTGTTTGTCCCTTCCTCTCTCTGCTCTCACCAAGCATGGATGCAGAAAACAGACTGCACTACGAAAGATGCTTTTCTTCTTACTTATACATGTGAGAGTCAGATCTAGGGACTCTTCTACCAAGTATAGTTTTCTCTACTGATTAGTTATTTTTGTAGACCTACATGTAACAATAAAGTAAGGGTCTGTACAGACAGGCAGGAAAAGGTGACATGAAGCTGCCTTTTCCCTAAACCATAGCAACTTCCCTTCCTGCCCCGAGGATGCCCTAAATGGAGATGGCGCAACAGCACGGGCTGGCAGCAGTTGCTTTAATTTTTTTCTGTTCTCTCAGACATACGTGCACATGCACAGGAACACATACCTTCACACCTGCACAGAACACATCATAGCCTGTATACAGTCTGTCACTCTCTATATACAAAGGTGACTGAAGTTCGGCATGACTGCACACCTGAACAGAACATGTCATAGGGTGGCATACAGTCTGTCATTTTGTCTGTACAAAGATGACTGATGTCCCTGTGCATCTAGAATCATAGAATCATAGAGTTGGAAGAGATCACAAGGGCCATCCAGTCCAACCCCCTGCCATGCAAAGCATCCCTGACAGATGGTCATTAAGTTGAAGGGTCTCAGAAGATTCCATCTTGTCCCCAAATACTGTTCATTATCCATATGAAGGTAATGTGTGAAGTCATAAGGGGTTTAGGGATGAGGTCTGTATATTGATCATACTGATGAAACACAGTTATTATTCTCCTTGTTATTGGAATCAGTAAAATTAGTGCAGGTGCTGGACTGGATGCTGTAATGGACCAAAAGACAGGTGAGGCTGAAATCCAATAAAATGCAATCTCTATGGATTGGTGATTCCTTAATCTCGGAATTGGATAAGCTACCTCTGTATGAACCTGCATTTCCTCTAAAAGAACAGAAAAGTAGTTTAGGAGTAGTACTAGAATCATCTCTATGACTGGACTAATCATCTCTGTGACTAGGTGGAGTCTGTTGCCCAGAACGCTTGAGAATTTTTTGACTCAGCCACAGTAATTTTCCGATTAGATTACTGTACTATGCTATACATGGGACTGCCCTTGAAGATGACTCAGAAACAACAGCAAGTCCAAAACAAAGAAGCAAAATTGCTGACTGGCATACTATATAGACCAGGGGTCCCTAAACTACGGCCCGTGGGCTGACCCGGCCCGTCAAGGCATTCTTACTAGCCCACAGCCGGTCCTGATGCCACCGCCGCTGCAGCTGCCGCGCTGCCACCGCTCGCACCCCCCACTGGACACCATTTTGTCTTCCAAAATGGCACCCGGAGTCATGCGCATGCATGCATGATGCCGGCCACATGCACATGACTCCGGACACCATTTTTGAAGACAAAATGGTGCCCAGAGTCATGCACGTGCATGCGTGCACATGTGCGTGCACGCGCCTCCAGACCTCCGGAAAAAAGTTTGGGGACCCCTGATAGACAATATATAACATCTGTCTTAAAGGAGCTGAATTAAATGCCAGTTCACCTCTGGTTTGAATCCAAGATGCTGGTAATGACATTTAAAACCCTACATGGCTTGGGGTCCTGATACTTAAAGGAGTGCCTCTCTATGTATATACCTGCCTGAAAGCTCAAGTCTACAAGAGGTGATCTCTTTTGTGTCCCACCAATGGAGGTAATATAGTATGAGAGCACATGGAAGTTGGCCTTCCCAGCTGTTCCACCTCTTGGAGATTTCTACCACTCATTTCTTTCTAGCATAGGTCAAGACATGGCTCTTTATGAAAGCCAAAGGAGAGAACTGATAACTATAGGTACAGAGCAAAAGAGAAAACAAAGCTCCTCATGCTGATAGATAGTCATTTGTTTTATTTCTTGTTGATTTTAAAAGCGCAATGCATTTTGGCCTCTATTCAAGTTGGCCTTCTTCAGAGGCTACACTAAAAATACAAATTTCATTAAATATATTATCAAGGACAACACAAAATTAGATATATTATTTGAAAATATATAGATTGAATTGATATACATATCAAAGTGTATAAACACACATTTAAACAGAAATTTCTTGTATTAGATGTTCTCCAAAGATTTGAACCATTAAGCAAGGAGAACTAGCAACTATCATTCTTGATTATTTATACATAGATACAGGTAGTAAGGAAAGAAAAAAAGGACCAATGATTTCTCTGAAATTGGTCACAAGAATATCTGATACAATTACCCTGAATGTTGTTGTTGTTGTTGTTAACTGCCTTCAACTTGATCCTGATTCATGGTGACCTTGTGGATGAGACATCTCCCAGACTCTCTATCTTCCACTATTCTGCTTATGTCCTGCAGATTCATACCTGTGATGTCTTTTATAGAGTCCATCCATATAGCATGTGGTCTTCATCTTTTTCTATAACCATCCACTTTTCATTGCATTATTCCCTTTTTCAATGAGTCATGCCTTCTCATGATATGGCCAAAGTACGAAGGAAGCCTTAACTGAGGGTGAAATAGATGGCCCCTTTGCAGCAGCTTCCCAGCAGCTTGGGGGGCATGTTGTCTAGATAACACACACACACACAAGCCTCTGGGAAGCCACCCACTCAACTACACAGGGGGCAGCTTTTTAGAGCTCGGGCAGCATGGCATTTAGATGCCACATGCTGTAGGAGGGCCCAAAAGCCATGGTGGTGGTGGAAAAGCTGGCATTTTGTGGGCACAAAAAGGAACAGCTTGTGGTTGCTGCAACCCCAATTCTGCATTAGCTGGGACAGCTTAACACTGCCCCTTTGGGACCATCTGTTTTGCCCCTTCATCATCTTGGCTTCCAGGAAGCTTTCTGGCTTGATCTGTTCTAGGACCCATTTATTTGTCTTTTTGGCTGTCCACAGTATCTTCAGCACTCTTTTCAAGCACCATATCTCAGATGAATTGATTTTCTTCTTTTCTTCTTTCCTCACTGAATATTACATCAGTTTAAATGAATAAGAAATAAATCAAGTGACCATCAGCACATGAAGTTTTGTATTATCTTTTGCTTTTGCTTCTTGATGAAAGCCTTGAGGGTTTAATTTACTTTAAATGTACATGTGCATGTTTTTTAATTATTGTACCTTTATAAGATGTTTTAACTTGTTGCCATTTTAATTTGTTTTGATTCTGTTTAAGCTATGCCATTATTTCAATCTGGAATTGCTTTAAAATGTTTTTTTTTATCTGTAAACATCCCTGAAATTCCATGATAAAGTGCAGGATAAAGATATTAAGAGCCAGTGTGGTGTAGTGGTTTAAGCATTAGACTACGGCTGGAGAGATCAAGGTTTGATTCCCTGCTTTGCCATGGAAAAGCACTGAGTCATCTTGAATGAGTCACACAGTCTCAGCCCTTAAAAAGCCCAGGATAAGTCACCTTAGGGCCACCATAAGCCAGAAATAACTTGAAAGTATGCAACAACAACTTCAGTCTATGAAAGCTCATGCTGCCACTTTCTTTCTTTCAGTTAGTCTCA